CATCCAAGCCCATTTTATTAGCCTACTTCATTCCTTAGTATTTATATACTATAAGAGTGTTTCATTTAAGCAATGTGAAACTTTTGACACACACACTTTTGACACACACACAACATAATCTAGATCCGTCCAGTCCCTGGTGTCAAGTGATTTGTTTTTATGGATCATGAATGTACTGACTTGATCTGTCTTATTTACCATTCATGGGGAGTACTGCAAAAATTATGGTTCTATAAATTATATAAACAGCCAATTATATCTCATAAAATCTGAACAACACAAACAATATAGTAATTACAAATGACACAACACACCCGACAAAACATCACCGGCTTGACTTTCACATCCAAAAACGTTTGAATACTTGAAGTTACAACATTTGAGCTTGACACAGACATCATCGATCAAAGAGCCAAACCAATAAAGCATTTGCAGCTTGGGAGTCTCAAAAGTACTTCAATCAAAAACTACCTGTCACTATGAATTATGAACAGGAATGATATGAGTTAATTGCTAATTCAATTTCAAATGTCATCACATAATAAACATATCACTATCCACAGAGAACTTTGAATTTAAATAAAGGCTGGGGGAAAAAAACCTTGATTACCGACCTGAGTTGAAGCTTATTACTAATTAATAGAATCTTCGAATACTTATAGGCACAATAACATAGATTATTCGGTCTACCATGTCATTAAAAAATTAAAATTAACTATGCCTCCATGTTTTGTTGAAAAACAAAGAACCGCAAACTATCCAGTATCCTACTACAAATTCACCTCCCATTCCAAGATATGATGACTTTAAAATAAAAAATGTCATCTTCATTATTTCCTTCAACTTGCTTAGTATATTTGCTTTCTCATGTATTGTGCATTTCTTTTGAAGAGGAACTCCACGAAGTTATGGATTCCCATTGTAACTCCGTGCATCAAAACTTTGAAATTAAGTCCTGAAAGATGATGTTGAAAGTCTCACATTGAATAAAATTGGGCTTAATAACTAATATACAATAAAGAGAAAGAACTCATAAACTTGAGCATTGAAGTTTTAAGTTAAAATATGACATTCTTCCGTTGCTCTTGCTTGTCTCTCCTCTCCCAATTCTCAAGCGGTCGCTCCCTGTTCCAAATTCAATTAAAAACATCTTATTTATAAGAACGAAGAGAGGACTTGTCAAAGTCTTCGTGCATTTATTTGCAAGTCTCATTTTCTAAATCGTTGTTATTGTCATGATGTAATTAAGAATGTCATGTCTTTTTGTTTATTTTTTAAATGTGGATTTCATCTAGTTTAACATATGGATTAAATTAGTTTTTTCTCTATAATTAATTTGACTCAATTTTAAATCTTAATTTCCATAATTTTATAATTCAACATATTTGAAACTAATTTCTTTTATCTTTTCGTGGCCCTGAAGAAAATAATATATTACTACTCAAGCGTTTGTCATGGTATACGTTTCTTCCACCTTTCAGTAACACAGGAAAAATTACATATAGGTTTTGTACAAGGAATTTATTTACAAACAGGTTTCATGAATTTGAGAAGATACTATCCATTAAGATCTGAATGTAATTAAGCTTTTAGGTGAAAAGACTTTCATGTCCCTACACACTAGAATATAAAAAAAAAACTAATAAACTAAAGGCATATTTACCATTCACTTATAATTTTAACTTCATAATATAATAGTAAAAAATTTTAATTCACAATTATATTTTATTTTTTATAAATAATAGATTGAAGTCATATTTATCTTTAACTTACAACTGCAACATCATAATTTACAAATAGAAATTTGTAATTCACAAATCATATTTCATATTCTATAAATAATAGACTAAAGTTATATTTACTATTTACTTACAACTGCAATTTCAACAATTTATAAATAAAATTCTTAATTCACAAATCACATTTCATGTTTTTATAAATACAAATGTATCCTTTTTTAATATATAATTTGATATATTTAAATTATAGCAGTATTATCTTTACATTTCAATTACGAATTACACTCAAGTATTAAGAAATTTGGTTGTAATTCTTGAGTTCTATGATCAGTCGTGATCTGGATAATGAAGACTTGTTAGATCTCTAGAAAGATTATAAATGCCAACTGATTATTTAAAAAAAAAATTAAATGGTGCCGCTCAATATTATAAATGATTTTATGTCATTTACTTTGGTTTTATTTATTTGTAAGAACGTGCTTTTTTAATTCAGCCAAAAAAAATACTGATTAATTAAATTAAATTTATTTATCTCTATAGTTTGTCTTAATTTAGACGATGTTTACTTTGACTAATTTAAAAGTTTATTCTATAACTTAAATTTTTAGAACGAACCTTTTATCTATATATTTTTCCGGCATTAGCGTTTTGTCATCATACATGATGTCTTTTTTCCGTCCTTCACTAACAGAGAGTCCATATGTGCATATGGCGATCAATGTAGCGATAATAGGGAATTTATATATAAACAATACAATAAACAATAATGCTAGATAGCCAGTTTGTTTGAAAATATATAGAAATGCTTTATAATTATTATGATAAGTTTTTTAATTAACTTAAAAAACTGGCTACTTAAGTTTGTAAATTATTTCTTAAAAAAATTGTCAGAAACTAACTGTCGTTAAATTAAATGCAGCTGTCATTGTCCCTAATTTTTATTAGTAAGATAAGATTTTCCGTATCTGGACCTTTAAAAGGTTTATTAATCAAAATCAGGGCTGACTTTATATAATTTCAAAAAATGGGTTCAAAAATAATGGCATCTACAAATAATTTACATGGACTCGATATCTTTGGAATGCCGTGATCTATATGGAATTTGGCTAAGCTTTAATTAATCATCTTCACCCTCTTTAATTACTCTGGCTTTTTGGTCGATGATGTCTGTGTCAAACTCCAGTACTGCAACTTCAAGTATTCAAATGTTTCGGGATGTGAAAGTTTGATGCTGTTTTTTTTTTTGTGGTGGATTTTGGTTTTTTGTTCTGTTGGTAAGTTGTTTCTCTGGTTTTGAGTTATTTGTATTGTGGGAATTTTTATTGGTTGAATGAAGTATCCAGTTTATATTAAATAAAAAAAAAAGTTGGTGCTGTTTAGTGGGTGTGGTGTCATTGTAATTACTATATTGTTTATGATGGTCAGATTTTTTGAGTTACACTTGGCTATTTATATAATATATAGAACCATAATTTCTAAGTTCCTCCACTTCTTCATTTTTTTTGAAGTGATGTATTTTTTTTTTCTGCTTTCACATCTTGTATCTTAAAGCATTTAAGTATGTTAGGTTCATTACTCACCCAATCTATTTTAAATTAATTTAAATTTTTGTTTAAGCAAGACCTTCGTTAAGAGAATTTTATGAATACCGTGGTTTTTTTTTCTTTTTTATTAACTAGTTCTCTTATAAAAACTTAAGGTGGGTTTGGCCCACAGCTATATTTAATCCAAATAACATTACATTTAATGTTTCCTACACTTGTACTTTTTAAAACCATTATAATAGTTACTTGTCAAAACAATATTTTTATTAGATGAAATTCAGGAAGGTTATCTCTGCATTTTCTCTTTCAATCTTCATGTCAGATCAGATGTCAAGGGTTTCAGAGTAAATTTATGCTCTAATCCTTTTTTGTAATTAATGTGTTCCAGCGATCCTTTAGTGCAATTTTCCCTAAAATGTTTGATTTCATATTTCTTGTTTTCTCCTATGAAAGCAAATCACGTGTAACAAGCAAGTTACATGTTTTTTTAAAATTTTCACTGGGCCCAGCCCAAATTTTTGACTTCCAAGGCCGATCAAGCTGACAAATAGATGATTGGATTCAATTCAAAGTGCTCACTGCCTTTAAATACAGGTAATCCATAACAGTTATTTTGGAAAGATAATCATTAAGTAATTTGAGTAAAATGTCAAGTAATTAACTGATGTTCTTCTTCTTTTTTTTCCCTTTTTTAAGAAAACGCCAGTATTGAATTAAATTGATTCTAAATTAAATTTGTTTATACATCATGCAGAAGTGGAGATTTTTTTGATATGGTGAGAAAAAATTTGTTAATAAAGTTTCTTATATATTTGATCACACATTAGCATGAGAATGTTGGACGAAGTTGACAAATTCACCAAATAGATTCCACTGGGAATCTCAAAAAAGTGCTTCAATTAGAAGCCTCATATTGCTATGAAATATATGAACATGAATGATATGAGTTAACTGCTAACTCAATTTTAAATGTCATTACATAATAAACATATTCACAATCCAAAGAGAACTTTGAATTTAAATAAAGGGGAAAAACCTTCATAACCCACTTGAGATGAAGTTTATTCCAAATTAGTGGAATCTTTGAAGTTTTATAGCCATGATAACATAGTTCAGTCTACCATGCAATTAAAGAATTGAAAAAGTATGCCTCCATGTTCTGTTGAAAAACAAAGACAGCAAACTATCCGAAATCCCATTGCAAACTCAACTCCCATTTCAAGATACATTGACTTCAAAAAATTATCCTCATTACCTTCAACTTGCTAGCTACTATCAACTTTCTTATTAGGGGTGAAGAGAGGAGGGGATCAATAAGAACCATGACCCCTAACTTTTTAATTTTTTCTTAATAAAATGTAGGGTTATATATTTTCAACTCCCCTAAATTGAGAGGTTAACTGATGTTAGATAATTAAATTGGTCAATTATAGCATTAGGAAGAAGTCTTGAAGCCAAGCTGGTTAAGTTGTTGAAATAAGGAGGGATCAATTCAGAAAGTTTGTTATTTGCAAGATCCAATATAATTAAATTAGAGAGACGACATAGCTGTGGAGGAATGTTTCCTGTGCATTGATTAGATTTCAATTTCACAACTGATATGTTTTGATGAATCCACTCTGGTATTTTTCCAGAAAAATTGTTTCCTTCAAGGTTAATCAAAACCAAAGACGTGCAATATTGGAAAGTCCATGGAATATCTCCAAAGAAGCTATTATTATGCAAATATAGTGCTCTTAGCTGAACTAATGATGAACCCATTGTTGGAGGAACTACAACCAAAAAACATATTAATCCCTAAGTATATCTTAGACAATCTTGCCCAATTACTCCAACAATCTGGAAGTTTTCCAGTCGGAGAATTATTTGATATATCCAAATAGTTAAGTAAATTTGTATCATTCTCTGTGTAACATAGTAGCAGAGAAGATAAAGATCCAGAGAAAGAGTTGTAAGCCAAATCTAGAACAATGGCATTACCCGAAATACGGGGAAACTGTCCTTGGAATTTATTAAATGACATAGATACATAATAACCTGTTGATCGCAACTTCGAGATATCTCCACTAAATGAGTTGTGAGACAAATCCAAAAGGAAAAAGGATGTTTGCTCAAGGCTTTTTGGAAGTGTGCCACTCAAATCATTGAAGCTAACATCTAAATATGATGAAGTTGACAAGTTTCCAAAATTGGAGGGAAAGGAGCCATGAAACAAGTTAGTAGATAAATTAAGGCCTTGCAAGTCGTCAAGTTGGTCTAACCAATCAGGCAGTGATCCTTTAAGTTTGTTGTTAGATAGATCTAAGGCATTCAAGTCTCGATGGCCTGAAAAATCTGGAATTGAACCTCTTAAGTTGCATTGTCTGAGATAAAGACCGTAGCAATCTTTGCTGAGATTGAACACCCAGTCAGGCAACCCATATGGCCATATCCAAAATCATTTAGACTGAGATCAAGATATGAAAGTGAGCTAAAATTGACATTCTTGTTAGAGAGGATGAAGCTGTTCAAATGACAATCTCGCAAATGTAATGTCTTCAGAGGTAGCGAAGCCAACGATTGAACCCACTTGGTGTCCATAGGAAGATGAGTGCGACTAAGATCGAGAGATTTCAGGGAAGAAAGTTGAGAAAGCCAATGAAGATCATCGATGTGAAGATGAATATTGTTTGATAATCTCAATTCAGAAAGCTTTGAAAAGTTTGCAGGTAAGTGACTGTGAGCAACAATAGAATTACCGAGAGATGGCGTGCTTAAACGTTCAAAGTCATTGTAGGCCAAAACCAGAAACTCCAAAAATTCAAGTGTAAGTAATGAAGCTAAGTTGATTTCACCTCTTAAGAATTCTGAACCTGAACCATTATCGTTTTGCAGGAAGAGAGCTGTGACTCTGCCTGTGTTGTGATCACACCCAACTCCTCGCCATTTACAACAATCTTGTTCAGTGAACCAAGAGAGGATAGGACATTGCAAGGATCCACAATGCCTTGTTTGAAGATTAACAGTAAACTTCGATCCTTGTCATTGCAACAGTTACTTTTATAGAATGTCACTGCAAATAACAACAATGTCAACAAAACAAATGAAGTTTGTGAAGTAAAACTAGCCATAATCATGGATGCTTGATTGGATGCAAAAAAGCAAGCCGTGATCTTGAAATGAACACTTGTCAGGTCTGTAGAAAGATTTATACATGCCAGGTAATTATTAAATATTTTTTCAATTAAATGGTGACGGTCAATCAATATTATAAACGATTTTATGTTATTAGCTTTGATTTTATTAACTTTATTTAGCATCGATAGTTGGCCTTAATTTTGATGAAGTTTGCTTTGACTAGATTTGAAAGTTTATTTCTATAATTTTAAATTTTAGAATTAAGCTTTTATCTGTATTTCTCACCTACCTTAGCTTTTGTCATCATACGTGTTTGTCTTTTTTCCATTCACTAGCGTCTAGCATAGAGTCCATATGTGCATATGGGGATCAATGTTGCGATAATATGGAATTTATACATAAACGATACCAAAAAAAAAAAATGCTGGATGGCCGATTTGGTTGAAAATATATAGAAATTCTTTATAATTATTATGGTAAGTTTTTCATTAATTTAAAAAAGCTAGTTGTATTTACAAATTATTTTTAAAAAATTTTTGTCAAAAACCTGACGGTCCTTAAATTAATATTTTGGGATTTAATTATTATTCTTATTAATTTTTATTGTTGAGATTTTAAGTATACGTGGTCCTTGAAATAGCTAATCAAAATCCGGGCTGATTTTATAATTTTTTAAAAAATGCGTTCAATAAGGGTACCTACGAATCATACATGGTCACATGGACCTCCCCCATTCAATACAATACTGTGTTTGATGTGACGATAGATATTGGCCATCTGCCTTTTTCCCTTGAAACGAAAGACTATTCATTTTTCCAAAATATGAATCTTATTTTACTTGGTGAATAAATATGAAATAAATAAAAATAGAATTGCTTTGTGTCAATGAAAAAGAGAGAAATGACAGATAAATTTTTTTAAAACAATAATAATTTTATCTCACGAAATGTACGTGATAACCATAATAAAATTTTAAAAGACTTTTTTAAAAAAGTAAATTTATGTGTAAAATTATCTTAATATTTTTATTAAAAAAAAAAAAGAAACACCCCTATGCAAAGGCTTCTCTTTTCTTTCCCCCCTTTCATGTCTCTGCGTGAGTCTGATAAAAGGTAAATAGTGGAGAGAACATGATGGCAAAATTTTATTAAAAAAAATCGAAATTACGTTATAATGGAGAGGGACCCCACACAAAAAGATATTGAAGTAATTTCATGAAAAAATTAATTTTTAAAAAAATTTTTGGGATCTCAATGTGATCGTTTTATTTTGTGAAATTAAATTATCATTTTTTTTATTTTAAATGAATCTATTTGTTATTCTCTCATAAAAAAATATAAAAATTAAACAAAAATCTCAAAGTTCAAAAGGGCTCACATTGTTCATAATTTAGAGACATTACTCACCAACTGGAATTGACCCCAATGATAGAGGATATGGTCACTCAAACATGGAATTTTAAATTTAAGTTTGTGTTAATGCAAAAAAAAAAGTTTTTAAAAATTACCTCCAATTAAATTCAACAATATTTAAATTTAACTCACTCAAATAGTAATATAAAAAATGACTCCATTAAAACTTGATATTACAGAGATACTTATAGTTAAGGATGCACACGGGTAGGGTTGGGCTGGACAGTACCCTACTCGATACCCAGCCCGAAGAATGAATGGGCTGCAAAATGTAGCTCAATGCCCAACCCTACCAGCAAAAATGCCCTATTAGTTTGGGCCGGGCAAAGTTAGTTAGGCAGCTTTGGGTAGCCCAACCCATCAAATAATTGTTCTACTCATAAAATCACAACCCTTCTCATCATTTCAAAATAAAACTATCACAAATCAACAATAATAACTCTATACATCAACTCAAAATAGCATTCATAAAATCATAAATCATGAATCTACAATAACAACTACAATATCCAATTATCTATAATTCAACATCTAACTTGAAATCTAAAACTATCACAAGTCTTGGCACAATATCAAATTATCCATAATTCAATCCAAAATAATAGATATAATTCAAAATAACAAAAGCTTGGAGCATCATACGAGAAACAACAATTTCAAAGAATAGGCTCCAATTCACAAAAAGCCTCTTCCTAATTCCCAACTTGCATGAATGGAAGAGAAAAAATATGCATAACTAAATAAAAAAATTGCAAGAACATACATGAAAATTTTAAGCAAAATGGGAACTAAAATATGAGAAAATTAACAATAATATTGTATAAGTTTGCTAAAAAATTAACAAGAAATCATAGAAAAGTTTGCAAGAAATTAATAGAAAAATTAAGAAAAAATTATAGAAAATTAGGCTAGGCTAAATGGGCAGAGCTACATGACTTGCCCGCTGCCCGGCCTTATTCGCACATTGCCTAGCCCAAACATGTACAGAATATTTGAGGCTTTATTTTTTGGGCTGGGCTGGGCAAAAGATAATCTGGTTCGGGCAGGCATATCGGGTAATCAGGCATCATGAACACCCCTACTTATAGTCATTAACAAGATCCTTACATCATTATGAGATTTGAACCTATAACCTGGATTATAAGCCAACTAGATCAACCTTTGGTGTTTCATATTTTTTTTGGTTTCCCACCCAATATCCTGGAGAGTGTAGGTATTCTGGGTTCATTGCCAGCCCACTCCATTCCAAACTATTTTGGATCCTTATTTGGATCCTTATGTAGGTTGAGCCTTTAATGTGATGATTTTGCAGATAACACTAGCGAGACACACTTTATGTACTTAGTAGGGCACTTGCATGCTTTGAGACTCAAACATGAGACTCTAGATTAAGCTGTCTAAGCTTTTAATCACTCAAACAAGCGCATGTTGGAATCTGATGTTGATAATATCAATTATCACTTGAGTACCCAAAAGAACGAAGTTCAGCCCAACTTCCATAAGCTCATTGGACAAAATACAAATTGACTTGGTATTGTTTTTTCGTTGGTTCTTTGGGCATCAAGACCGATCCAATTTTCGGCCCCTTAAAAAAACTGAATGAGCCCAAAGCCCATAATAAATTGCACGAATTGACCATAAAACCCAAAACCCCAATTTCTTTCATTAAACCCTAAAATGTTCTCAAGTTCGCCGTCTTCTTCGACTTTTGCCTCTAAACCCTCGAACTTCCTTTTCGAACCATCATTGCTCATGGCTGTGGCGATTCCAGCAGCTGCACCTTCCACAGCTGTCGATAGGGTTAGCCCCAATACAGTGCAACAAGCTGTGGATGCTATCGTGAAATGGAGGAATTCTAAGTCCGAGGTCGAGAAACCCAAGCTATTTGACCTAGACGATGAATTCGTCTACCTCGTCCTCACCCTGAATAAACTTCCTCCGAAGTCTCGCGTCAATGCCCACAAGATCCCACTTCCGCATTCCCTCCTCTCCGAATTCTCTGAGCACTGTTTGATCATTGATGATAGACCCAAGTCGAATCTCACCAAAGAGGACGCGCAGAAGAAGATCAAATCGGAGAATATTCCAGTTTCCAAAGTTCTTAAGCTTTCGAAGCTTCAGTCTAATTATCGTCCCTTCGAGGCTAAGCGGAAGCTCTGTGGCTCTTACCACATGTTTTTCGCAGATAAAGGGGTGATTCCTCTGCTGCCACGGCTATTGGGTAAGCATTTCTTTAAGAAGAAGAAGATCCCTGTGCCGGTGGATTTGAAGCATAAAAATTGGAAGGAGCAGATTGAGAGGGCATGCTCGTCGGGGTTGTTGTTCCTCAGGACAGGTACGTGTAGTGTGATGAGAGTTGCCAAAATGTCAATGGAAAGGGACGAGATCGTTGCCAATGTGACTGCTGCAATCAATGGGATCGTGGAGCTCATGCCCAAAGGGTGGGGGACCATACGGTCGTTTCATTTGAAACTGACGGGTTCGGTTGCATTGCCGCTTTATCAGGCAATCCCTGATATGAAATTGAAGATCGAAGGAGCTGAGACCAAAGAGGAAGCCAAGGAAGAGGATGGAGATATTGTGAAAAAAGAGCCTAAGAAGGATCTTAAAGTTGGTAAGAAGAAGGGGAGGATTCATGAAGTTCGGTACATGGATGATAATATAGGTCATGAACTTAGTCAAGATGAGTCAGGTGGTGAGGACGATGGGGGTGTTAAAGAAGAAGATGAGAATGATGAAATGAATATTGAACCGCTAGTGCATAAGAAGAAAAGGAAAGGATCAAAAACTGACAAAGGGGTTCACAGTGAGCTGCATAGTGAGAAAAAATTGAAGAAGTCAGCCAAGGACAAGGGTGAAAGTAAGAAAGACGGGTTGTCTTCTAAGAGAAAGAAGGAAAATGATTTACCTGCTAAGGATGAAGTTTCTGGCAAGAAGAAGAAGAAGGGAAGTGGAGAAGTGAAAGTAAAAGCTAAGAAAATTAAGAAGGCTGCTTAAGCCGAGTAAAGAAGTGTCTTTGGTTATAGATTATCCTGCTTGATGGACATTCGTGTAATGTTGTACGGTTTTTATTCTTGTGTCCTTCAGCAGATTTTGTTTCAAGTATACCATTATGGAACTCTTTTTGTTACCCTTCTTACTCGTTAGCTGTTATAAAATTTATTTACATTGCTTATGATTAACTTGCGAATTCTTCTCAATGGAAGATTGTATTTCTGGTTTCTGATTAATTAGAGTATAATTGATAAAGGATACAGAAGGAATGCGTTTTATCTTAATTATAATTGATGGTTATATTGTTATGAACAACCATGTTAATTTTGAGAGTTGAAGGTAAGTGCTTCAGCTGAGCTGATACAAGTGGATGATGAATACTGAAGTTGATCATGTAATGAGAATGAGAATGTTGAGAACAGATCCAATGTTCTCAGTTTGAGAGCTTAGTCCTACATGCACTTGCGATTTCCATTTTGTGTTTCTTAACCCTGACCTAGCCTCTTCACTTGCTTATTTGAAATGAAATGTTCTCTTATTCAAGTGCTATATTCTGCTTTCAGTTTGATTTATGTATTAGGCTTCTTGAGTAAGAAGTCATTGGCACTGGAATGATCTGGGGACAATTTGGTCCACTGGTATCTTTAATTTTCTTTGTTTTAGATACCTTGCATGTGATACCTAGGTATTTAAGATTTAGTTACTCTGTCCTGACAAAGAACCGGCTCAAATTGGCAACAATTTATGGAAGTCACTCTGATTCCTACATTTCAAAAGACGCATAAAATGCTTGTAATTTTTCCCCCGAGAATTTTATGCTTGCAGGCATCTTGAATCTTTTCCTTATATGTTTGGCATTTAAGGTTAATCAAGCGTTGTAATAGTTTACCTCTAAAGCTCCTCCCTAGAAAGATCATATGTCGCTAAGGCACATTGTTAATCTATAGAATGACAGGATTGGGGAAGGTTTCTGGTGTTAAATAGTATATTGGATATACTGTCTGTATAATCTGTGACAGTTTAGTTGCTGAGAGTTCCTATTTGCTATGTACAACCTATTTACATTCCATTTATATTGATCTCAAATATCAATGTATAATGTATAACCTATAACATGTCGATGCTATTTGTGATGAAATCTCTACTTGAATCACCTAGAGAAGAGTTATTGCTCATCATGTGTAGTTGTATCTTTTGGGGTTTGGTAGGTCCTTTTTATTGAATTCTATCTTTTGTTGAAACCGGAAAATGCTAACTTGTCACTTATAACAATCGATTTTGTCATGAAGTATGAATGATCTTGATCTCTTTTCTTAGGGGAGATGAATGTGGATGATCAGAATTTCACTGTAACACTTTTTGAGCACTTGCGCTTTAGAATTTCATTGAAAAATTGTTTGTGTTGATGTTTATTGACTGCGTTATTTGTGATTTATGAATGATATAGATTGTTATAAATTTTACTCTCTCTCTCTCTCTCTATATATATATATATATTAGTATTTGCATTAACTATTAATGCTTGTTATTTTTCAAAGAACTCGTCTGATACAGTTATTTGACTGTGTTAATTATTTGTTCATTTTCACTTTCAAATACTGTACGACAGTGTAACTTTCTGATTGTAAAAATAAGGATGCATTAAACTTCCTTAGTTTTATGAGAGCAAACAAGTTCTGTGACTTTAATTTAATAATAATTTCTTAATCTTTACTTGTATGTACATAATAAATCATTTGATCTTATGAAAGCATATAATCTTTTTCAGAGCTAACTAGGTGGGCATCCTGTAGTCCTGTGTAATATATTTATGTATTTTTTTCTTTTCCTTTGACAATAATTATCAAGTTATTTTATTCCCCGCTTTCGTGGGTTGGTTCTTGATTAGATGCATAATTGGATGTTTAAGTCAAACAGTAATTTGTACGATGTTAAAAAATAAGGATAAGTATGGGGGGGCCGTTGTAGATGTTGGGCCCAAAATGAATGAGAAATGGGCTAATATAAACGGCCCATTCTCCTTCATTTTGAAGAACCATTCTTGTTCAGTTGTTCTTCTTAAGCCATCCAAAGACCGAAGAACCACTTAAGAATTTTCAAACTTCTTTATTTTTCTCATGCATAAGTTGTTTCTGTTTCCTTTCTTTTCCTTTTTTTTTTTTTCAAAGACTTCCAAAGGATGTCTATTTTTATATGGCTATCTATTCAAGTATTGTTAGGTCAAATTAAAGGTAGTTTTTCAAAGAACAGTTTTTACCTTCTTACAAACTCAAGATCTCTGGTTTAATAAATCATAACCTCTTTCACTTGAAGCTGCACATGTTTGGCCATCCAAAAAATGTTTGGATTTTAGAGGATCACATACATTGTATTTCCTTGAGAGGCCCACTCTTGTCCTGTAAAGCATTATATTTTATATTTTTCTTTAGACAATGAAAAAGCATATCTTCGTCTCTTATAAATCACATCCATTTTTAATGTAGAATTACAGTGAAAAAAATATTTAAACTAATCATGTATTAATACTGTGTATCGTGGGTACGCTAACAGTAATGCAAGTTTTATGGCAGTATACCTCTACCTGGGTTTGGGGCTTGGATCACTTTTCTGTTGGATTTGATTTTTTTTTTTAATTGTTGTTTTTCCTCAAGTTAATGAAAAATAAGTAAATATCGACATAATTATATTAAATTTCATTAAAATATTTCCCAATTAGAACATGGCATGGCATGGCATGCATACAAATTAATTAGTAATATAGTTTTTTTATTTTAATGATTTGCTAGAGATGATTTTTGTTAATGAAGAATCATGAGAAGTTTTATTTTATCTAAATAATCTAAACTTTCTTAACAAAGAACTACTTCATATCTAGATGTTAATTTCATCCAACCTCATTTCTCTGTTCCTTTTTTTTTTTTTAATTATCCTTCCAATCGCTCAAAGCCCATATTAAATCGCTCAACGCAATTTTAATTGAAACTTTAATGTTTTACTCTCATTAATTAAGTTAGCGTCATCAAGAGGTAACTACTATCTGAAACAATTAATATGGGAATTTTGAAAAAAAAAAAAACAGAGAGACTAAATCTCAAATAAATTTATTGCTGTTGTCTATGTTGCTTAATTCATCTGATTTAAATATCAAACACATTAGAGGGACCAAATGTTTGAGTGAATTACAGCGACATCAAACAGTGCATAGCATGGGGCTCGTTTGTTCAGATTCATTAGAGTGCCTATTTGGATAGGCCAGCATAATCAATTCTACCCATCAAAACCATGGTTTTGCTGGGGGAAAAATAAAAAGGCAAACACCTCAATTTTTTTTTCTATAATTGATTTTTCTGTTGACTTACTGCCTATTTGGATTGAAGTTTTAATCTATTTTCTGGGAAAAAAATCGATTAGTGAAGAATTTACCCAAACACCAGTATTCATAGGTAATCGATTATGTAGCTAAACAATTTTTTGATTAAGCTGCCTCACAGAGCTATTGATTCTAGACCCTCCCTCCCCCTTACTCTGTGAGTCTGTTCTGGCGAATGAGAAGGAAAGAGAATAAAAAAAAAAAAAATCCGATCAAAAAGTATTTGAAAAAATTATGAGAAAGGCCCAGAAAAAAATTATAATAAAGGCAGAAAATTTTTCTATGATAATAAAAATAAAATCAAACTCTCTTCTTTGCTCTTTTTTTTTCATAGTAAACTTTTTTCACTTAACACTTGCTATAAAATTAATTTTAATAAAATCTTAATTGATAGAAAAAAGATTAATTTAATTTAATTTAAAATTTAAAGTCATTACAAAAATTATTGTAAAGGTCCAGAGAGTGATTTTGGTCATTTATTATATTGCTACATTTTTTATTTTGCCAAAATTTTAAGGTAGTGCTTAACATCTTAATCAGATATGACTCATATTCATGATGTCATTAGAGATCAACTTGTATATTATCATCTTTATTAGTTATTGTAAAATTGATGTTTGATAATTAAGAATTAAATCTTTTTCTTTTATTAAATTTATTTGAACTAAGATATATTGAGTTATTTATTTACGTAAATTAAATTGTTAATATTAATATAATTTAAAATTTTATAATTATATAATTTGAATAATACATTTTACTTCTTAAATAAAATTTAACAAATTTAATAATATTAGATACAAATTTATTAATAATTTAATTTTCAAAATCAATGTAATTTATGGTAATTTAAATAGCAAAAATTGATTCTAGCTCAATTATCCAAACGTATTCAATTTTATTAAAATTAATTTCAGAAAAATAGTATCCAAACAAATTATATTATAGTATAATCAATTATAATCAAAATCAATTATATTAATTAATTATTTTTAAAATTAATTATATCTAACTGAAATTCAAACAGGCCCTTAAGCAATCTATAGCTGCTTTTCATAATCAATTATTGCATTTGACTTGGGGTTTATTTAAATTTTAATTGGATATAATTGATTATGAAAATAATTGACTAATATGGTTGACTTTAATTATAATTAATTATGTTATAACGCAATCTATTTGAATATTGAAATTAATTTTAGCTGTACAAATTACCCTAAAAAATATTACTTTTCCAAATTAAATTATTGATAAAGTTATATTTAATATTATTAAATTTGTTAAACTTTATTTAAAAAATAAAATATATTATTTAACAGCATAATTGAATCTTTAAACAACTTTTCAAAGTTTATTTTAAAATGTGATTCCGGCTCAATAGTCAATTATCAACTTTGGCCGCTATTTGGATAATTTTTCAAAAAAATCAATTATTTTGCCTCAATAATCAATTTTTCTCACTATCCAAACAGGCTGTTGATTATTATTTGTCAAAATTTTCAATCTACCAAAGATACCCTTGATCTCTAGCAAAGGACAGCACATTTATGTTACCAAACAAGATTTTCCAAAGCTGCGCATGGAAAAATAAAATTATGGGATCTTGAAATCAAAACATATATAGCAAATTGTTATGAAAAAAATCTTATTAATATTATAATGTAATATAATTTAAATTTTTATAAAAGATTCTTCTATTTTTAATATGATTTTCAAATATAATTTTCATCATTAACCATATACTATTTGTTAAATATTATATAAATATTAACTGATCACTATTGTACATATTTTATTTGTTAAATAGAATTTAAAAAA